CAATACTTAATGAAATGATCATGTTTTATAATATGATTACTTTAAACCGTAGTTTAGAATATGATGGTGTGTAAACGCTTAAAAGAAACGTACATGCGTTTACTAAGTAAACAAAAGGCGATCTTTTTAGAAGTGGTGGAAGAGCACGATGTAGTTTTGGGAGATTACAAATTTCTAACATTCGTACTTGAATATTTTTGTTTTTTCTTCCCCAAAATCCCTTTTATGTGTGTTAGAATTTCTCACAAAAATAGAAAAGACCTATCTGCGCATAGCCTATCCCTAACTTTGAAATGACAGTTTAGAGAAGAAGGCAGCAGGCAACCGGTCAACAATTCTCATCACTGGACTCTTAGGCTCCTCTTGTACGTTCTAGCAGTAGGATTTGACTGTCACTTTTATAATGCACCAACAGATCTAAATAATGGAAAGCATTTTTGTGGCAACAAATTCACACTGCTAGTATTCACAGCCCGGGCAAACTATATAATAGCCGACGTTCGGCCAAAGTTTCTTTTGATTGATCAAAACTATCTGGTCACGAACATAAAAAAGTGTGCAAAAAAAAACAGTAACAACAAAATAAACACCCAAACATGAAAAGTGTCATTTTTCATTTTGAGTCAGTAAAATCATCTCGAAAAATATTCTTTGAGTTCCCCTCCTCCTCCTCCTAGTGGTGATTTTCTTTGTCGAAACTTAGTTTTATCATTTTCATAATGATTTGTTTGTTTGTTGTTAAGCACAAAACTACACAATAGGTTATCTGTGCTCTGCCCACCGCGGGTATTTAAACTCAATTTTTAGCTTTATAAGCCTTCAGAATTACTACTAGCTTTTCGCGATGAATATTTTCTTTAAGCTACTAAACTTCTCTGGCAATTAGTAACTAAAATTCATCATGAATTCCTCATTCAGTTTGATAGATTTAGAGTTAACTTGATTTTAACTCTTTCTTAAGGAGGGATAATGAATTATTTTTCAACGATTAGCGTAAGATCAATAGATATGAGGGAGTTAACCGATACCGAGAAAAGGGTC